AACGGAAATCCTCAAACCCAAAACGGCAACAGAGCCAAAGCTTTGGCAAAACATACTTGAGGTATCTGAGGTACCAGGAACCACATGGTTTTGGACAGGAAGATTGGTACCTACCTCAAGGAACCTAATGGTATCGGGACCTCAGCCTTTTGTGGAAATCCAAAATGCGAGTCGCAGAGCTCGCCCGGGGGCTCTTCACTCTACGCGGCTTCCCGGAGTGGGGAAATGGTGAAACGTGGTACTAGTAAGTTGGGTGGTCGTTTGTTCGGGAAGAATATTTGGGTTTTGAACTCTCAGGTTGCCAGCTTCGTCACAAGAAAGGGCTTGCCAGCTTCTGCATCATCATTCTACCCGCCAAAGGAGTGGTTTCAAGTTCTCTGCTTTCCAAACAGGAAAACTCAAAAGGTATCCAAAGTTTCGGTAGCCCTCTCAGTGTTTCTTAGTCTGTTCTGGGGCCGTTCTGGACGTTTTCAGCCCGCCCCGGCTCATTTTGGTCGCAGTTTCTGAATCATGTTGGTCCTGAAGTTTCCGCCCATGTTGGTCGTAGATACAAAACCAATATAAACAAATATTTTTCGCGCAGCTCAACTCGACTCCACTCAACTCAACTCGGCCCGCACAACTCGACTCGGCCCGACTCGGCACGACTCAGCTCAACTCGAATCAACACTCAACTCGACTCGAATCAACTCAATTTAACTCGACTTCACTCCACTCAACCCAACCCAAAACCCAACGTACCCAACTCGACTAACTCAACCCAACTCAATTCCACTGAACTCGACTCGACTCATTTCAACTCGGCTAAACTCAATTCCACACAGCTCGGCTCAACTCAACTCAGTTAAATTAAATCACATCAATATACGAAACTAAATCAAGTCAAGACAAGACAAATCAAACCGGCCCCAATCAAACCAAATCACCATCTATTGAACCAATAAAGTAATCAAACAATCAATCAACCTATCAATCAGCCGATCACTCAATCATTCAGTCAAACGATGAGTCAATCATTCAGTCAAACGATCAGTCAGTCAAGCAATCAACCGACCAACCAATCAAACCAACCAGTCAATCAGTCAATAAATCAATCAACAAATCCAATCCAATTCAATTTAATCCAATCCAATCCAATCCAATCCAACTCAATCAATCCAATCAATCCAAATCAAATCAAATCAAATCAAATCAACTGACCAACCAATCAAACCAACCAGTCAATCAGTCAATAAATCAATCAACAAATCCAATCCAATCCAATCCAATCCAATCCAATCCATTCCAAACCATCAATCCAATCAATCAAATATATCAATCAAATCAATCAATCAAATCAAATGAAAGTAACTCAAATGAAATGAAATCAAAGCAGTAAACAAACATCAATCAATGATTTAATAATGAATGCATCAATCAAGCATGCAAGTCAATCAATCAATCAAATCAAATCAATTCAAATCGAATCAAAACAAATCAAAACAACTCAATTCAAATCGAATCAAAACAAATCAAAACAACTCAATTCAAATCAAATCGAATCAACACAAATCAAAACAACTCAATTCACATCAAATCGAATCAAATCAAATCACATCAAATCAACCAATCAATCAAATCAATCAATCAAATCAAATCAATTCAAATCAAACAAATCGAATCAAAACAAATCAAAACAACTCAATTCAAATCAAAACAACTCAATTCAAATCAAATCAAATCGAATCAAATCAATCAATCCAATCCATCAATGAATCACTCAAATCAATCAAATCAATCAAATCAATCAAATAATCAATGAAACAATCAATGAATCACTCGATCGATCGATCAATCAATCAACCAACCAAACAATCAAAGCAAGCAAGCACAACTCAACTCAACTCAGCACAGCCAAACAGCATGCCTCCCGATTCAGCCCAATGAATCAATATCAAACTCAGCTCAGCTTAGCGTAGCTGCGCTGGGCCAGTAAGTCCGTCAACAAGCAGGCAAGCTGCTGCCATTGTCTCAACGCAGAACCAGATTAGCGGCCAAGCTTCAGCCGCAGAACGTAGGACCGAACCTTTGACGCTAACTTGGCCGACAGCGGAGACCCTCTCTGACCTCCCCCACTCGCCCCACCCAGCCGATTCCACAGCGGAGTTTTCCTCTGACCCTCCCCTCGTCCCCGGCTTTCCTGGCATCGACCGCCTGCTTGGGCGCGCAAAGCTTCAGCAGCACCTGGCGCGCGTCCTCCCGGGCGCCTGGCATGGGCTCCAGGGCATGGGCTTGTGGCACTGGCAATCCAGGAAGTGCTGGCACTAAGCGCTGGCAATACTAAACTAAGTGGCAATCCAACAGGGAGAGCTGGCAACAGTAGTGAACTGAGCATTGATAATACTAAAGCACTACTTACGTCATCCAAGCTCCCTGCCAGTTTACAAAGGGTGACGTTGGGGATTTCATGGGTGTGATGGTCCGAAATCTCTGGCACTCTCTTTAAAGGGGCCAAAGGAATGATAACCAAGCTTCTACTCTCTTTGTCATTTTCAATGGTCTGGGAGTAACCCATATCCTTCGCGAGGTCGCAACTTGATTCACCCACGTTGGACCTCCAAGAAGGCTTGCCACGGGGCATTCCGCCCCCCCGCCCCCCGGGTTGGGCAAGCCCTCACCAGCTGCTGACAGCCTGACAGCTGCCACGTTTATTTTTTTCTCCTAGGGCACGGCATGCTCACACCGCGCCGCAAGGTGGCAATGTGTCAAAACATATGTTATCACGTCCGGAGAGGATAAATTACCAGGGGAAATTCCGGACTTGCTGTTTACAAAGATGCTAAAATACGTTGACCCAGCGCAAGAAGCGCAGGCGTATCTGTGATGAAGAAAGCCACGGTGGACCACAAAAAAGAGACCAGTCATCCTTAAGTAAAACAAGTTCAACAATCTGAGTTGCGCACCCTTCCAAACGCGCAAGTCCAGGAACTTGGGGCCCAAGGGAGCCAGGTCGCCCAAGTTTTGACACGTGCCAGTGGCAGTGCTGCAAACTGATGCGGAAGATCGCGCTCCCATGCAATCAGGGGAGTCTCGAAAGCAAAACGACGGGCGACAGCTGGGTATCTCGACGCATATGTATGTGTTTGTTTGTGTTGGCTTGCTTGCTTGCTTGCTTGCTTGGTTTGTTGGTTGGTTGCTTGTTTGCTTGTTTGCTTGTTTGCTTGTTTGTTGGTTTGTTTGCCTGCTTGCTCTTTGTACATATGTCATGATAATGTCTCATAGCGGTGAACAACTGGGGAGGGAATGCAGCGACACCGTTTAACAGACAAACTATTGCCTCATCTTGAAATAGAACAGGTATGGAATACAAACAATTGTTTGCTTTAGGGTGTTTAGGAGACATAGATTCAGGCTGCATTGGGCAGCCCTATTCTGGCAGCTTGTTTCTGTTGCTTCCGCTCCCCCTGCCTTTAAGCGCCGTGTTTTACAGGGATCCTTGCATCATACCCCTGAACATTGCCTTGCACATGGTGGTTGACCTTTATTTTGGTGGAAAAAGCCATGTTTCAGATGAGCAAAACGTATCTTTTAAGGAGCCCTGCTATATGCGGCAGGTTTGTTTAACTGCGATCTATCTAAATGAACATTGGCCCCCAACGAAAGGTGAGGCTCTGTCCCCTTTAGGCTATGAAAATATGGTCCAAAAGCCAAAAGCCGTGGCGCGAACCACCTAAAATGGGACATGGGAAGCCGAAATGGGGAAACATCTCCCAGCGACCATGTTTAGCGGAAGCCCGCCAATCAAAAAGCGGAAGCGATGCCACAGAACAGCTGGGAATCCCTCGGTTTTTGCCCAGCTCTTCGCTCGTCAGTGAGATGTCCTGGCCAACTTGGGCCAGGTTCGTCTTGTGAAAAAATGCGCGCGATTCAACACCGGCGCGGAATGAAATCAAATCCTCTGCGCGCCCGCTAAAGGTCTCGCCAAAGCGTGAATCCAGAAAGTTTACACGTAGTGCCACCACACTACCAAACCCATACATGTATGTATATATATATATATATATGCTCTCCCCCCATGAACTACCCTTTGCTGCACTTATGGGGGGACGGGTGACCATATATATATATATGTATATTGGGAGGGGGGGACCATCCAGAATCCATTTATACATGTATTATATACATATGCACATACACATGTGTATACTGCTGGTACTTCTTCGGCCAACGGGGCCTGCGAGGTTGGTCATGGAAGGCGCCCTGGAGGATCGCCATTCACATACTGGAGAAAATTTCGGGGCTTCTCTACTGTGGTCAGATTTTTGGGGTGGTGTGCAATTTGAACCACTGGACATAAATTTAGGTGCTTTGTAGTCGCCAATCGCTACTAGGTTGCTGGGGCTCCTTTTGTGATGGATCTGAGTCAGAAACCATTCACCACCTTAACGCTGCCACCCCTTTGACCCTAAAGCTCCAAAGAACCCGCTCCTGCGCGGTTTGAGAAATTCGTCTTGGAGAAGCAGTCTTGCTGAGTGGATTGGCCAAGCTTAACATGCTTCAACTTGACACCAAATTGCGTGGGTTGGCCAACACCAACACTACTTTTGTGATTACCATTGCAATGGTCTTCCTATTGAGGTATACAAGGAGGTGTTCTGCAACTAGCTGGCAAGTGGTACCTTGGTCATGACCCACTTGTAACCTAAGTGGTTGGTTCTCTTGCTTAAGGCATGTTTTTAGTAGGCCACGCGTAAGCCCTGCTAGGCCCCCAACATCTAAGTTGTAAACTAATATCTGGGTGTAAGGCAATTGTGATACAGTTGAACTTAGTCACACTAAACTGAGTCTAATGTCTGAACACTCAAAGTCTAAGCTTTAACCCCTTCCCGTGTGTCTTCTTTGAGGGTACCCTCGATTTGTGGTTTGAAAGGGAAGGCTGTTTTGGGGGTCCTAAAAGTAAAAACAAACAACACCACATCCCAGGATCATGGCAAACGCGCAAAGGCTCAGCTCGTTTTTGCTCAAAGGTTCGCCAAGGGCTCGACCAGATCGTGGCTTGGCACTGGGTGGTTGGCCAAGAAAGCAGCGACCACCACCATGGTGGCTGCCTATGGCTGAGGGAAAACTGAGAACTGCCTATGGCTGAGGGAAATCTGAAAACGGAGGAGGGTCATTCCACTCAAAGGGGACGTTTTTGGAAAGATAGGATGAGCATGCAAAAGAACCCCAAACAGGAGGAACACTTCGAATCTGGCGGCGCGAATTGAAACCAGGCCCAAGACCCTCCAGCCAACCTTGGCCGGCCTTGGGCCTTAGTGGAGGCCGCCAGGCTTAGAATCACGCACCAAGGGGCGACTTGTTGTGGGTGGTTTGAAGGGAAGCCTTGCACATTGGAGCAGCGAGCCCACCCAAAACAAGAAACCGGGCCTTAAAGATACTGGGCCGGGCTCGGTGAGGCCTTGCGGTGGGGAAAGAAAAAACACCGCCTTAGCCAAGCCAGAATCATGGTTTCCCCTGTTGGACGCGAAGAATTACAGTTTCAGTGGGGCATTATAGCGGCTAAAATAACTAAATCCATTGCTCCGCTGTGGTCATAATTAATAATATACTGTTTATGTACTGCACACCCCTCATTCTAATTATTTGGGTTCTGTGGGTTGGCCCCAAAACCGCCAACATTTTTTGTTTGCAAACAGAACTGGTTTTTTACAAGTAACTCGTGAAGTGAGGATACAGTACCCTATATAAGAGTCGTCGGGCTTGGTATGCAGAACCCGGGGACCCCCGTTCCACAACCCGAGTTGACCAACCGGGGTGCAAAAGGCACTATGCTCAGGCCACCCAACTCCATCAGGCCTCTTCGGGTAGTAGCCTTTTAGAAAAAGTCACCAAACTCTTTGTTCAACACTAGAATGGATCTTAAGAAGGACAAATCCTAGGATTTACAGACAAATTGTTTCGCCAGCTTTCCTCTGCGTCCCTTCCCTTGAGTGAGTTTCAAAGCACACCGAGCACAGGCGACCTTTTGCCGAAAACAAAAAGAGGAAAGCCCTGGTAAATGGCACGAAACCGATCTAACCAAGGTGGAACCCATCTGTTTCCAACCAAACCCACACGTCGACACCAGATCTCCGAGCCGAAAATTTTCTCCGAAGCGTCGTAGGCGGAGGGCCAGTCGCCGGGACCCATGGCACCCATCCGCCGCAGCAACCAGTTGGGCATGGCCATCCTCAGGTTGCGTTGAAACCACACGTGCCATGGACACTTGGTTGCCAAATCTGCTCCCCTGCTAAATTGTTTTTTTCTTGTTTCGTGGTTTAATGGAAAACCCATTAGTTGGCAAGTCAAAGTCCTAACATCCGAGCAAAATGCACCAAGGTGGAAATCAAGGGTGAGCCTTGCGACTATTTTGTGCACTAACCTAGAACCTGACGCTTCGGGGTGCCGGATTGGACAATTTTCCTCGAACATGGACCCTGTGGTGGGTTCCATGTCAGGAAACAGGAGAGAATGACCTCCTAATTATTGAGGGGCGAGTTGGTAAGAAGGGTTGGTGGATGGATATCCTAATCTCACGCTGTCAGGTTGAACCATTTTGGGTGCAAAACAAATCACCACCGCCTGCGCTCTAGCCAGCAAAACACAATGTGTTGTTCGATCCCACCTATATCACAAAACAGGCTTGTGCGCATTCGGCAAATCTAAGCATATAACCAACAATAGTAGATGTAAATTCCTTCAACAAAAAGGATTGGCATGCAAGCACATACCTCAGGCTACTCTCCCACAAGCAGGGTTGCAAAGGCCTTGTTCCAAAAAAGGCAGTCTACCAAAGGACTTTTGTGGTGGTCCCTCCCCAACAGGGTACCAAATTGCATTTCGTGAAACTGATCCCCCAATATAAACAACATAACCCATTCCCCCTCAACTCGTGTGACTGTGTGTTTGAGGCTTGGTTGAGAGGTCCAACCTGCTATTTTGACACGTACCCAAGTGAGCACAGCCCAAACCTTGTCTTTTGGTTCTACTAAAATGGCCCTGACTATAACCACAAAAACAAAAACAACAAAAAAAAACAGCTAGCACCGACCAACCGGCCTTTGGGCTTTGTGGTCGAACTGGGATTCGCTCATTCGCTCCGGGCGGCTGGGTCTCGGAGATCCACTGGTGACAGGTGCCCTTGATGTGGAAGCAGCCTTTCAAAGGGCAAGTGGGTTATCCAAGATGTCGGCTTCCCTCCAATTGAGTCGCAATCAACACCGATCGGAAAATGGTCGATCCCCAGAAGCATGCTTCGAGAATGAAGAAGGCGGATATCCGCAGCCATTTCTGGCTGGGATCGTCCCTTAACCTTCATCTACCCGGGTTTTGATTGTGGCTCAATTGGTGGTTTGGAGATCGGTGGTGGTCAGGGGGCGGTTTCTCACGGTTCCTCAACAAGAGCTAGGGGCTCAATTCCCCAAACCACCAACTATAAGGGTTACCTAATAGTGTCATGCAACTCACTTCCTGGGTGGAGCAGTGGATTGGCCAAAGCAAGGCCGAACTTGTTGCTCATCACTAATTAAATTGTCTTCCAAAGTATGATGACCAGGAATTTAGGGAGTGAGACAATTGGGTAATTGTCTGCAGAAACCCGGAGGGCAACACATTGAATAAGTTGCCCCTGCCCAGTCACATGAAAGCCCGGGCAGGAACCAAATAGCCACCCAGAGATGGTTCCAGCGCACGTAAAGGACCTTCTTGATCAACCCCCATGTGGCTTCCTTCGGAAGCTGGGTGTCCATTTTTGAGTGAACCCGCCCAAAAGGTTGGTTCCCTTTTCGCTTCCCTTTAAAGCCAACCGAAAGATGGTACCCCTCAAAAAAAAACAAAAAAGCGCCAGACCCATGCATTTAATAGAAACTACACAACTGTGTGACTTTGAAGGGGGGTCGCTTGGCACAAGCTCTGGGCGCGGTTGAACAGCTGCGCACAACAAAGGTGGTTTGAATTGGTGGGAACTAACCCTGGAGGGCTGGGAACCACCCAACCTGCACACCTCCAAACCACCGATCCGGCTCCAAACCACTTGACGCAAATGGACTTCCCTGGCTCCCCTTGCAATCGAACGTGGAGGTCCAAAAAGGAAGAACCCCCTCCATTTGCTGCAACAGGGGTAAACCAAAATACATTCTTAAGCAAATGGAAGTCAAACAGCATCACATGAGGCCTGGCACATGAGGCCTGGGTTTAAATAACGGGGCTGCGCAGGCCAAGGCTGGCCGCCTCAGCATCATTTTCTTGTAGCTTTCTGGTTTCCTCCCGTTCTCTCGTTTGCAATCCGTTGCTTCGCGGAAAAATAATTTACCCCTTCCTGCTCATGTGCGATAAATGGTGGACTCCTGTTGGTATTGAAACCGCAAGTGGATTCTGTCTGCATATGGGTGGCTCCTCCTATGGAGTTGTTTGTTTCCAAAAATGGACGACTTTCAACTAAAAAGACCACATGCGTCTTTCCTCACCGAACCCGTTGGGGGCTGGCAAAATTGGCGGCTGCAGGGTCTTCCAAGGGATCCAGTTGGGTTTAAAATTGTCAAAAAATGGACCCCCCCCCCAACGCCCACAGTGTCCCTTTGGTTCTCGTTTCAAGCCCAAAAACCGGCACTCTCCAAAAAAGGACGGACCCTCAAACTACACGTTAAACTGGGGGGCATTGCCCCAAAATCAGAGGGTCATTCCCCATTTGCAAGGGCAGTTTCAGGGTGGGGCCCCTTTCAAAGCCCAAAACCGGAACCTCAGCACTCTCCGCAAAAACTCGACACCCTCACCGCGGCCCAAGCCCGTTGCGTTGTTTGCGTTCTTCGTCGCCTTGGCACTTCTCATGAGCGGCCGCCCGCTTGTTGCCTGCCATGATCTTCGGGTAGCCCACCCACTCCCCAGACACCGTGAGCGCGAAAGGCACCTGGCCGGCGGCCGGCCCCGGGTCTCCCGCGCCCGTTCTCCTTGGGTCTAAAGGGACGCAAGGAAAAGCCACATCCGGGGTGAGGAGAGAAGATGTTGCGATTCTGGTTCAAATCAAGCCTCAAATCTCAAAATCTGGGCAGACCCCAGGAAAGGGCTTGTCCTTGTTGGTTTCCCTTGCGGTGGATCATCTCACTTCCTGAGTGGACTTGCCCAAAGTCCAAACCCTTTTCGTTTGCCACTGACATGGTCCCAAGGACGACCCACCAATTAGGGGGGGGGGTTAAGGGAAGCCAAAAGGACAACCAGCATCGTCTCAACCGCCATCCGTGCCTGCGGAGTGAACTCAAAGTCCGCCTCAAGCAGCACCTCGGGCCAGAGGTCCATCAGCAGCGCCGATTGGAACCCTGGCGCCTGCATCAAAAAGGGATGCGCCCCTCGAATGGGATGGCCCCCTGGAAGTTTTCATCTCGTTGTTTCTTTGGGACCCCTCGAAAAAGGCGATCGCATAGAGGCAAGTGGAAACTAAACATTTATCAAGAGACGTCGATTCGCTTTTGGGCAAGTGAGCTTTTAAACCACCCCAAAAAGGCGCGCCCCAGAAACAAAAAACAACAACATGGGTTCTAACCAATGAATTCCTTTCAAATGCTATGCACATGATTGTCCTTCGGGGCGAGCTGGAGCCCGCGAGCGTGAACCTGCTTTTCTTTGGGGGCCCCCGATCCAGGAGCCGCGGATTTTTTCACCGATCCTCCCCACCCGGGCCGACAGCTATGGTGTCATTGTTTTTAGACTATTGGGTGTGTAGGGCATGGTTGGGATTCTCATTCTCATGCTTAATACTACGAACAAGCAAGCTCTAACAAAAGTCGCCTGGGTACACAACTATGGCCATCCTGTTGGACTTTTGAGGGAAACCGAGATACCTTGGCTCGCATCTCGTATACATAGAAAATAATACGTTCCACTCTCTTCCATGTTCAGTCTACCCCCCCAGAAAATGAGGCATATAAGTTTGGAGAAGACCCCAAATCCGCTTCCCCCTAATTGGTGGTTTGGTTTGGGTGTTTTTCCCCATTTACGCAAATATGTTTTTGTAATATGGCTCTCATCGGACAAACCCCATGGGCTGCGCCAAATCCGGCCCGCCGCTGAACCCCACCCCGGATCCCCGCGCCCATCGATCCGCGCCCCGCGCCCAGCGCGGAAACCGCGCGCGCTCGATCCGCGATCCTCGTTGCGCTGGGCGGCGGTGCGGAGAAATCGCCAGGCCGAGGCCGAGCCAAAGGAGTGGCCGATGAGGATCTCGGTTGGCGTGGCGCAGCTGGGGGGGAGATTTTAGGGGGGGATTCCAAGGCAAAGGGCGGGGATGTTTGGTTAGAGACACGAAGATATAAAGGAGAAGAAATGATGTGAAGGAACTAAGGAGGAAGTACAAAGAGCACATTTGAGGAGGAAGTAGACCTAGTTTGTTTAGGGGTGTTAGGATACAATTCATGGTGCTGCTTGCACTGCAGATTGTGTTGCAATGCAACCACTAGCAGTAGATCAAGGAACCTCAGAATTGATCAACCACAAGCAACATGATCTAAACATGTCCAAATCAAACGGGGGTGACGGATGAAACACGGTACACCGTCCTAATTGGCCCCTTGAAATGCCCCCATAGGTGCTTCGGTGCTTCGGTGCGTCTGCAACCTCTTGGTGTGTAGATCTTCCCAGCCTCCAGGCGAAAGGTGTCATCCATCCTCTGAAAAATGGGGCTAGAAATGAACGTGCGCAACGGGCGCCTTTTGCGAGACTCCGTCTCCTCCAACGTGGGGACTGCGGTTTTCATGTCTCTGGGCCATAAGCCACCCCAGGGAAGAGACTTTGATGGGCTCTTGAACTGCAAACGCGCGACCCTCGCATATGTTATTGCTTTTGTACCACTCCAGGGGTTGGATCACACCCAGAGCTATCGCAAGGGCAGTTTCAGGTATGGGTTTGGGAGGCATGGAGTTTATATACCACTTATATTTCTGGGGTAACTGCTTTCCCAGCTTATTTTTGTATAGGGATCCATACCCCCCCAAAACTACCTGGGCATGCCCGAATCACAAGGGGAGCCATTTTTTCGCCTGAAAGGGGCCATTCAAAGCTAAAGTGGCACGAAAGTCTCAAAGCCCTGAGTCAGCTCTGCGCTTTTCTTTAAAGCACGGCAGGGTCAGGGTCAGTTTCCAGTTTGGCTCTGAAACGACAAGCATTGAAAGGTTTTTTGGACAAATCCCACATCTGGGGTACACAGGAAAATATGTCGCCTTTTCTCTCTGACTCCATTCCATAATTTGCCTACCCTATCATTACAAATAGCTAAGCACCGGTTCTGCACCACATTTTAGTTCGGAGATGCTGGGGGTCAGAGACGCCCCTGACATAGGGCGGGGGAAGGGGCGGATCCCAAGGCGCCATGCGCTCGGTGTCCGCACGCTGAAGCACCTGGCCCAGCTGCCCCGAGAAGTTCTTCGCCTGGGGGGCTGGATCACTCGACGTGCTCTCTGTGTTTTTCGGTTGGATCACTCGGTGTTTTGGCGGCATCCCGCGTTGTGTGGGTTTCTGTTGTTGTTGTTTGTTGATTGTTGGTCTTCTTTGAGGGAAGCTAAAAGGACAACCACCCATTTGTGCTCTGTGCTAGGGGAACCCCGTTTTCGCGGTCTTTGTTCCTTTTTCCCAGCCCCGAATCTCGTTCAGCCATCCCAAGGGGGTGTCGGGCCCACCAAAGTGAAGGATTAAGCCCACAAAAAGGGACACGGTAGTTATCAAGGGGTGTATCGTGGGTAGGGAACGACCTTCTCCGGGTGCCGGGAATGAGCTGGAAGGGGATCCTCTTCATGGAAACCACAGGAAATGGATTCTATAAGCCATCCATTTCAAATGGATGGTTTGTAGGGGTCATTCCATGCTGACCTCCAGCAATTGTTGTGCTTTGTTTTAAGGGAAGCCACAAGGACAACCACCTTTTTGGGGATATCCTCACAAACAAACGCACCCACATCCAACTCACGCGAACATCCTTTCAATCTACTCTCCGCTAAATTCACATGGACCGCCTCAAACCAAAGCGTCCTTCGAGGAACCTCCTTTTGGTGTTCCATGTTAAATTGCAGGGAAGTACACTCAATAGAGCGTCCAATGGCTTTGCTGGAGCCACAAGTGGTAGAACCTACCTGTTGAAATGGTCGCCATGCCACGGTCTCGTAAGCTGGTTGGCGGATATGTGATCCCCTTCGACGCGCAATTGGGTCTCTCAAGTGGGCACTTAGGGAGTCAGGACTTGCCTGAACCAAAAGGAAACGGCACCGAAAACCCTCTTTGTGGACTTCCCGGGAGTGGTCATGGGCACGCCCTCGAAGGATGAAGCCGCTTCCAGTGATTCAACGCTGGCGTCAGCACCCCAGAAGCCAACCGCTTCAATGAAAGAAAGCCACTCTCGCCAGTTCACCCAATGACTGTCATTAGCCTTCGCTGGTCCATTTGCCCATACACCAAGGCCACTCGTCAGTCATAGCCCAGCGAACAAAGATGGCTATTTCGGCGTTGTGCTGGAACATCTTGCAGCCATGATTGTAATAATTCTGGCCCTTAGCTACCTCAGCTTGTGCCCAGCCAGAAATACGACTTTTACTATGGTCCATACTTAGTGAGCCGTACATGTTTAACCTCAGGGATGAAGCTCCAGGGAAGGAGCCTTACTGTATACACAAATACCAGCACACATGTCAAAGTACTAGTGCATCTAAGAAATATGAAAGGTGTACACGTCGCAGAGTGCTGATGCATATTACAATTGCAATGATCTCCCTTCAAGGGGTATTCTGTTGGAAACATGGGCAAATATGAACAAATAACTTTGGCCTAGGACAGCCGGCCACGTGAATGAACAGAACCAAAAACGCCAACACAAAAATAACAACTAAATCACGCCAAGAAAAGCGAAGCCTACTCTGTTGAACGCATATGTAAGCAAACGTAGTCAAACCATGTTTATCCGTAAACGTATTTATCGAGAGTTTGCCTCTGGAAATAAATGTTTGCCACCGATTAATCAAAGAGTACCACATCCGAGAATGTGCGAACAGAACAAACAAGGTATTCAATACAAGAAGCGGTGTGCCTCGAAGTAACTTAAGTAGGTACTAAACAAATACTACAGTAAGCAATACTAAACCAATCCTAAGCCAACAACAACAAGTACTTAATTGCAGACTGCTTAGGAGAGACCGGGGGGGTTCTGACCCCCAAATTGTTTTAGCGGATTTTTTGCGGGGGGACCATTTTACTTGTTGTACCTGAATATGAGTATATACAAAGCCAATTGCATGCATATGGGAAGGCGTGTGTAGATATGCCCGAATTCCTATGGGAATGCTATGGGCTTGTTCAAAAAGGGGAGCTGACACCCAAAAGCACGGAAAGGCTGAGGCTTGCGTAGAGGCTCGGGCACTCGCCCATGGAGCGCATGCGCGTTCGAAACTGTGGGGTTCTTCCTTTGACTCGTCCTAGTTGTCCTTTTGGGCAAACAAATGGACTCCACTCGAATCAAATATTGCTTCACCAAACTGAAGCCCATGCAATCCAACTGACCCAGGCCACAAAATGACACAAAAAAACAACATATACCACACGACTGGAAAGACCTCACAGCACATCTATCAGCACGCCGCATTGTTCACAAGGGGCATCCCTAATCCTACTACGATGTTCGGCCAAGTTAGGAAGTTGTTGGTAACCTAGATTGTAGCCCACTTATAAGCCTTCATAAGTGGGGTTAACCCAGTCATTACGTAGTGGGTTATCCTAGCTGGCCAACCACTTACTCATTTGTCCGAACATCCAAGCAATCCTGAATCCGTAGTAGGTCCCGTCGGCCCAAAAACAAACTATGTATCACCCATGTTATAACTCATAACCCAGAGGTTGGTTGAACACCCAAGTATATTGGTTTCAGGGTCCAACCCCATGTTCCCCAAGTTGGAACCATGGTTAGTTATCTGACCTTGAGTCAAAACCCGGTAACCCCGTACAACGAAGTGAACATCCCAATCCCCACTAAAATTTTACTAAAAGGGGTGGTGCACCGATCCCAAACTGGTACCATTGGTTTTGAACCATGGCCATCTGACCCTGGCTGACGAAACCGAGCACGTTCACGGTGAATTTCTCTCGTCGCCTGCAGGGCGCGGGTCACCTTGAAGAGCTCCTCAGTGCGGACCTCGCGAGGCGGAGGTCTCGAGACTGGGATGGCTGTGATTTCTAAATGCATTGTCAGAAGCTCTACACTCCTGCAACCTGGGTGGGGTGGGGTGGGGTGGGGTGGGGTGGGGTGGGGTGGGGTGGGGTGGGGTGGGGTGGGGTGGGGTGGGGTGGGGTGGGGTGGGGTGGGGTGGGGTGGGGTGGGGTGGGGTGGGGTGGGGTGGGGTGGGGTGGGGTGGGGTGGGGTGGGGTGGGGTGGGGTGGGGTGGGGTGGGGTGGGGTGGGGTGGGGTGGGGTGGGGTGGGGTGGGGTGGGGTGGGGGGGGCGGGGTGGATGGGTGTTGCTGCTTTTCCTGTTTGAGGGTGCTTAAAGAGACATCACAGGGTGACCATCCATATTTTATGGGTCCTCCATTTTGAGAGGAAAGCACATCTGTTGGTGAAACAACTGGTTCGTTCGGGGTTGCGTGTCGTAGTCCGCTCACGGAGACCCTGACCAGCTCGAAAGACCCCAGAGTTCAGGATTCGCAGGCTCGTGTTACCAACCCACAACAAACACTTATTTCCTTGTTTGGGTTGTGGCTGTAGAAAAAACAATCCGAAACCATCCTTTTGCGTTTCATTCTTCGTGGGGTAATTCCTCAACCCTTTTGGGATTGAACAGTTTCAGCCCACGTTTCTCATCCATGTCAGGCCCGCCTCTAAAAAGGGCTGCCGGAAGCCCGCGATGTCCATCCCCTCGCATGCGGAGAAGCGTGTGGAGAAGCGGCAGGTTAGAGGTGGAGAGCTGCCGGGATTGGCCCCTCTACTTCAGCAATGGCGAAACAGCCTTGCCAATGACCACTTCCTCCGGAGGAAGTTGTAAAAAAATAGATGGCAAGCTCTGTTCTTTGATTCGTTCCTGAGGAGAAAGTTGTTCTCTGCTTTGTTTGATGGCCTAGATTTACACGTGAGTAGCGGGGGTGTTCACAGGGGGTTAACCACTTTGCTGACTTCCGGACGATTTGACGCCGGGAAGTGAAGCAACTTGTTGGTCTCGGGGTGCCTGGCTCTTACAGGAAAGCATGCTTGCTTGGCTTGGTTCGTTCATGCCAAACGACCGCCCTTGTTCATCTGTAGGTATGTAAATCTATTTTCATAGATGTATTGCATGTCTCGCACCAGCCACTATAAATATCATGTGCAGTAAACATAACTTCAAAAAAATGATGCCCCAAATTCGAGTGGAAACCGTATCTGTTAAGGGCACCTACGCCAAATCCTTGCAGCAAAGTTCGCTCCTGGATTCCTGGAGTGTAGGAAAACTACTTTTCTACCACAGCACTTGAGTCCCGTAGCTAGGGTATCACTTTAAAGGGTGACTTACTTGGTATTGCAGAAAATCGGCCACCTGAAAGACAACGTTGAATCTGCTACCAAACCTGCCCAAAAATGATGCTTGAAACGACCGTGCCCAAAAATGATGCTTGAAACGACCGATCTTGCCGACCTGAAACCTTGCCAACATCTCCACACAGAAACTAAGACGTCCTCTGACTCTCTAATTCTTCAACATGCAGGCCCCAACACTGAGAAAACAACACCAGAAAAGCCTCCGCAGCCGAAACCCAGCCGTCTTTTTCCCAAAACACCAGCAAACGCGAGGAAAAACAAAAAAAGAACCGTCGTCTCCCCCACCCCGAGGAGCCGCACCCAGCTCCAGGCTCCAGCTCCTTTCCAGGCACGAAACGAAACCGCGCCTTGGGCATCTCCACGTAGGGAATCTTCCGGCCCTCGGTGTCCAGGGCGAAGACCCCGGAGCCGTCCTCGTGCTCCAGGGCGATGACCACCCAGCCCAAGGAGGCCACGTCCCGGCAGAACCTCGCCGCGCGGCTGGCTCAAGTCTTTTCTTTTTGGCGCTTTCCCGTTGGTTTCCCAGGGGCTCCTTTTGGCTCCCCTTTTAAAACTGGCCACCTAGGGGATTACCAACTCAAAAAGGCCCTTTTCTTTGGGGGAGTTGCCCCAGAAATCACGGGACTGTTCCTTCAGTTGATCAACTTGCCGGCTTCCATTGAACCGATCGCCACTTTCTCCGGGGTACTGCGCCAATCCGAGAGGGGCAACCAGTTCGTGGCTTGGCCAAGCCCGAGAAGTGGAAAGTGACTTGAACGCGAAGAGTGACCCGACTTTTGGTACCAACGGTGTGTTTCGTATTTTTGAGGGGAAGCCACAAATGGAAGCTCGACAGTTTATGTGGGTTCAGATTCCTATTTTTGAGAAAGACACGCCCACATGACGTGGTTGCAAAGGCTTACATAGCGCCTGCGACCTTTAAACCACGCGGAACCACTCACTAACACGGCCCTTTTGGTGACTGTCAGGTGGTATCACGTGAATTTGCTACTGGGTGTTTTGAAGGGATCTGCAAACATCACCTCTTATCCCTTTTCGGAAAGTGAGAAGAGATGTTCAGGGCTTCTCAGAAATACTCTCGGGGATGGTTTCCTTTTCATCCGCAATTACGGGGTCAATTTCAGCATGTCACTTCAATGAACGCAAACACCGGGTCCCTTTTTAGTTGGATTTCTTCCGGCGATGACTTGGGGGACCTAGACGTGTGTTTGACATATCGATGGATTCTATTTGGCATGCATCGGATATTAAACACAGAGGCTACTTAGCAGGTAGCTTTCTTCCAGGGGTACTGGGGCCGCTGATTAACACCTGGGCAACTTGTTCGCCTCAGCCTCACTCAGAGTGCAAAGTATGCTACGGTTTGCCACTGGATGCCAAAATGGGGCTCTGGGGGAACAGCAACTTATCCATCACTCTTGGTTTCTTTAAGGGGCGCTAGGGGAAATCCACCAAACAAATGTGAACATCAGAGGTTGCCACACTGGATGTCCGGGTTGCCCCAAAGAGGACGGGATTGGCCTTTTTCTAACCCAAACAGGCTGAATTGAAGGAAGCCAAAACTATCAGACCCCTTTTCTAGCACTTGCGGATTCTGTATTCGGGGCTTGCACAAACACATGGCCCAACCTGAAAGAGGACCCCCCAAAAGAAAGCTCGGCTTCACTGCTCCAAAAGGCGATGCTTGAACAACCAGGATCAATCTCGAAATAAGACCTCCTGAAACATGGTGGCTTTCCTTTTGGCACGCCTTTCAAACCATCAACCAAAAACAAACAGGGGAACACTAGAACCACCAAACTGGCTGGGCCATGTCCTTGTTGGATTTGTTTGTTCAGCCCCCCAAAAAAAGAAAGCATCCGCAAGCGCTTGGAAACAAACCTTTGGCGCGTTTTGCTTGGTTTTCCATCAAACCACTAAACTCAAACTTTTAGAGAGCAAAAAGCGACCGAGAAACGGGTTTTGTCCCGGCCCAAGGCGCTGAGTGTACATCTCACAAGAGCCCAGCAGGCCGCTGGAGAACACCGCCACAGGCCACGCCGCTGAAGCCGCTTCGGCTTCGGCCGCTTCTGCCGCGGCAGGCGCCACCGGGGGGTCCAGCTGCCTAGGGCGGGATCGGCATGGCTTTGCCTGTTGGGAGGTTTAGGTGAACGCACTTGGGTGGATTGACCAGAACAAGTCGTGGAGTTTGGTGGTGTACCACTAAACGGGTCCAAGCTCAGAAAGTTGAAAGTACAGGAACTCAACAACTCAGGCAGCGAGTTAAGGTTGCCTTTGTTCACGGATGAATCTGTCGAGCCTTACTATGTCTGGACATGATAAGCGTCCGTGATCAGTCATATTAATAGGGGTACCCAACAAATGGCGGTGTTCCTCTTGGTTCCCGTTAAACCAGCCCTAAAACACCACCAGTTCACCAAAGGCAGTGGATGGTTGATTTGGGACATGCTGACTGACTGCATTCCCTGGTATCACAGAAAGCGGCCAAAAGCCCAATCTCCCACAACCATGACAACCACAGGGCTGATCTAGAATACTCTGTTGATCGATGTTGACTAGGTTGATTTATGTTGATCTTTCAACCTCCTACAACAAGTAGAAGCTCGTTGTTCACGCCATTTTCAGGTATGGTGTTTGCAGGCATGGAGGCTCACATACCACCTATATGAGCCTGTAAGGCGTCATATGCCCCATACATGTGGTGCACAACCTGCATACCTCCAAAACCCGCACCTGACCAAAATGCTCTTGATGTTTCCGCATCGCACATGGCCGGACAAAAATCACCAGATTCGCTTGAGCGAGGGAATTACCATGGCGACATCTGGCGAAAGGAAGCCAAGCCTGAGTGTTTGGTCATCCCTTTTTTGAACACCTGCCCAAAGGATCTGAAAATTCGAGGTTTACTGGACTAACATGGGAGCTCCGAGAAAGCCACAGTACATGGAACCAAGTCTTTCAAAATGGTCCGGGAGCTTCCATGTTAGTCTGGGGGAGGGTAGATTCCCTGTAAAACCAAAAGGGAAACATGCAACATACGTTTGAGCAAATGGAAGCAACCCTGTGTTGCACCCCGACAGCCTGCTCATCTCTCAGGAACGGCCACAAGAGCAGGGTTGACCCAGGTTTCAAAGGGGGACACCCCCTATTCATCGACCAGGGGTTTATAGATCCGGGGTTCCCTCCGAAGGCGCGGCACACCCCACATTTTGTGTCAAAAAACCGCCCCAAAACGAAACGCGGCGACCCCTTGCCTCTGAAGCTTTGTGGCCAAAGCGCGTGTCGCCCTTGTACAACGACCTCACGGCCCAGCGCGGGAGTTTGATCTGCTCCGCGAGGAGCTCCAGCACCTCCGTCCGGAAGAGCGGCCCCTTGTCCTCGGGGCTGCGGTGGGGGGTGGATGGGGAGGGGGGGCGGTCGGGGGTTGGGGGTGGGGTGGCTGGGGGGTCCGCGGTGGGGGGTGGGGGGTGGGCTGGAGGGGGGTTGGGGGTGGGGGGCTGGAGAGGGGTTGGGGGTTGGGGGGGGGGGGGCTGGATGGGGAACAACTAACTTGGGACGAATATGCTCCAAATGGTGGGGCCGGATGGGGTTGGATGGGGGGGCTGGGGGTTGGATGGGCCACAAATAACTTGGGGACGAATATGCTCCAAATGGTGGGGCCGGATGGGGTTGGATGGGGGGGCTGGATGGGGGGGGGGGGGTTGGATGGGCCACAAATAACTTGGGGACGAATATGCTCCAAATGGTGGGGCCGGATGGGGTTGGATGGGGGGGCTGGATGGGGGGCGGGGTTGGATGGGGCGGAAATAACTTGGGCATGATCGAAGATGTGGCTTAGATGTGGCTTGTTGGGTTTGAAGATCATCACCTTTGGTTGCAAGAGAGAGTGCCCATACACAATTATTGGGATTCCTAGCCTTTACTCCTTTGGAAGCGTCTCAAAGCTGAACCAAGGGGGTCAGGGCAAAGATAAGTCTTGGGTCGATCGAAGGAACTGAAGTGTAAGGCTTCCCCTTCCTCGGCGAGTTTGAGTGGTTACATGGTGGCTCTCACCTTGGGTATGCTCAGAGACTCGAGAAGGCTTGCAACCCACCAATCTAAACCAATCCTGGGCTGCCCTGCCACAAACATAGACATGCACAGCCATTCCAAAAGGAATGTTGTCTTCAGACCGGCGTTGTGCACTGCTTGTACCCTTTGAGCATCACCCCACCAAAAGGACACCCCTCCACGCAACAAGGAAGACCCCTTGGGACGAATGGGCTTGAGTCGACATTTGGGGGGGGGGGGGGAATCCATTTGGGCAGGAGGAACCCCCCCGATGTTTTTGCGTCCCCCTAAAAAAAGCTACATCCATTTGATTTGTGGAGCTCATCGAGCACCTGGTTTCGACATAGTTGCCACTAAGATTCACAGCCAAAGTTGCCCCTCCCCAACTCATTTGGTTGCTGAGAGTGCCCCATGTAGCGTGGATGCACTCCAATTGCATTGATCTTCTTTGCAAAATGGAAAATGGAACTACGGAGATCTCCAGAAGTCAACGTGCCCCCTCCCAATTTCATGTCAAGAGGCCACGGAGATATTCCATGATATTCGGGCTGCTGGAGAATCAAAACATCGCCACTTGAGTGGATTGGCACAAATCAAAAGGTTTTGTGTACCCACTAAAAATGGGCTTTCCCAAAACAACAGATATCGAGTCCAGCAAATTCTACTCCCCAGGCAGACTAACATGAAATCACAAAAACACGTGTGTAGAGGGATCTCCCCTTGGGGCACCCCCTTTTGGGTTCCATGAGTGGATTGGCCGAAAAAAGTCCAAACTTTATGCTTACAATTGAATAGGTCTTCTCAAAAAGTCTAAAATGGAGATAGATTTCAAGAAGTAAGATGTTAATTTACAGCGAAGTAAATCAAGAGTCACTGCCACACTGCCTGCGGGAAAATTATTTCACCACTTCCATTTGCTTAAGCCCCCTGGAAAGAAAACAAACAAATCCAGTCGTGATCGATTCCGTGTAAAACCAACAGGGTGAAAAATACCCAGCAGGTCAAACAAAATCCAGCCCGAAAGAAAAAACAAAACCATATTCTTAAACAAATGAAATCACCAGCGTTCCTCTTCGAACAGCCGAGCTTCTGAGATCGGAGGAGCTGCCGTATCGCCGGGGTAGTGTACCTGGGCTGCCAATGAAAAAGTGAACCCTGCGCTTCGGTCCATTTGGGTAGCTCGGCCGGTTTTGAGGGCACCCCTTTTTGGGTGCGTTTGAAGGAAAAACCCAAAGGACAACCACCCCTTTGGGGACACTGTGCTGGAAACAAGTTCATGATTCGCTGGCTTCCAATTGGAAATGTGGCAACTGCAAATGGCCCACCATAATTCACAAGCTGGACATAAGGGCTCCTTTCATAAAGGGCAATCATCATGGGTAAGCGCGTTGGCACCTAGTTGCCAAAATTCAGTCCACTTGTGCCCCCGACTCGCTGCATAAGGAAGCCAATTGCTCGTCTAGGTTTAGACCTTAAACTGCAACCAACAACCATTGAGAAACCATAGAAAACAAGCTGAAACCATCCATTTGGCTCTGTTTTGGAAATCATGGACTGGTGTCTCCCGAGAGAAGTCCAGTCCAGTTCATACTTGCCGTTCTTTTCTTCAGGTAAGGACTGTTTGAGAGTACTAAACAATGGCGGAGTCGACTTCTTTTCAACCTACGAACACGCGTTCACCAATCCAAACCACCAGTTCTACCTCACCCCATTGCCACGCATGCCACATGCCACATGGCCATGGGTCAAAATCCCGTACCCCCAGTGAACATCCCAATCCCCACTAAATAGACTAAAATGGGTGGTGCACCTGAAAATGGCACCGCTGGCTTTGACCCATGGCACATGTCGTTTGCAATTCGTTTGCCAGGGCTCCTCCCTACATTTCCCCTTAACACATCACCCCATCAACGGACTCTCACCTTTCATGGGCCAAAAAGGTGATGTTTAAAACCACACAAAAGGGAAATATAGCAGGGATCCTTACATTATACACCTGAACATTGCCTTGTTTTCTGGTGGTGTCCCTTTATTTTGGTGTTGAACAAGAAGAACATGTTTCAACTGGTTGTAACATGTATTCTTTTAAGGAGCCCTGTTATAGGGACCCCTGTTTGCCATTTCGCGCCTGGACCTGGATGTCCTTGTCCGCGGTGAGCTGCATGCGGGTGCGGATGCAGCCCAGCGGGTGCTGCCCATGCAGCTCCGGCCGGCTCCGCCGCAGGAAGCTGAGCATCGCTTCTACCGTCGGTTCCGCTCGGAAGAGGCGAGGAGTCCAGCTCCGGAAAAGCACAGGGCCGCTGAGAAAAAACCGAGGTGTTGGTGTCTCTGAGTAAGGCAAGTTGTGTGTTTTTCTCTTCTCCAGATGTTTTTTTTGGGGATCATGGGGGACAAAGTCTAAGATCTGTGAGCCTCGGCTGGCTTCAGCTGATTCGTCCAAAGCGTAACTGCGCGTTGCACACAAAAGAAGTCGCCCAAAGCCGACGCTGTGAGCCAAAATCCGCACGCAGGCGGTGGAAGGCGATGAATCCAGCTCCTGAAGTTCGGCCCACGTGTTTTGGCCGCGCTGGGCCCACAAAACTAGGTCCTCCAGAGAGGTTAGAATAGGGGTACCCGTTTTTTTTTCTTCTGCTTTTTTGTTTTTCTCCTGCAGTCTATTGCAGTAGGGGAACCCTCCCCAAAAAAAGTTGGTAATAGATATGTACACAGAAACATATATATATATATGTATGTGTGTTCTGACGACTCTCTTCCATATTTGGGTCCAGGCACTCAGAAATTGGCAGTTCACACCTTTGTCTGGAGCATGTTGAAGGGAAACCCACAAGGTGAAGTGGAATCAAGGGCGCTCGCGGTCTTCTGCCCTTCAATTGTTCGAGAGGGAAGGCATCAACAGAAAGCAACTGTCCTTTGATCGAGCTCCACACTGGGACCTTCACTGACCTCCAAGGACCCAGAAATGAAACGCTTTTGCAAGCCGCCTCGTACCCGCTGGCATTTTCTGGCGAGGCTTAAGCTTTTGGAACCAAAAGACCACACATCAGAGACATTGGGCGCAGGTCCCGGAACCCGCACCCCACAAAAATTCCCCCCACGTCCCCCGGTTTCGCGCGCCTGAGGCCCAAAGACCCTCAGCATACGAGAGGTATAGCCTGGCTCACGTGGCGTCCGAGGAAAGGGCCAGTTTGCAAAAAGGGTCGCTCTGAAAAGACACTGGGTCAGGGAGAAGCTTCTTAGACGCGTAGGAAGTCCACAGCTGGAGCGGGATCCTTTCACCGATTGCACTGCCCTGGGCCATACTGTGGATGGACGAAATCCTGCACCACCTAAGACACCCTGAAATGATGCTTCCCTTGTAAATACCAACAAACTGTGGTTTTCCCATGGTTTCAAAGTGGTGCGAAATGGATTTCGTCCATCCACAGTAGGATGGGCAAGTCTTCATCTGTTTGAGATGCACAAGCTTTCGGCCCAGGCTGTAGATGCCAATGAGGAACCTGTATGTGTGTGTGTCCCTTTGCATGGAAGACCAGCTTTGCTTCTAACATATTTTGAGATTGTCCGTTTCAGGGGAACATCCGGGGGTCTTGCACGGCGTGCTTCAAAACATCAGCCAAATTGCTCTCGCTTTGCGCTCATGTTAGCTTCTGACGCCAGCAGAGTCGGGTTGTGCGTGCCTTGGCAGGCTGACCTTAATTAAACAGCATCGGCTGCTCTCTCTCGCTCTCTCTTTTCTCTCACTCTCGCTCTCGCTCTCGCTCTCGCTCTCGCTCTCTCTCTCTCTCTCTCTCTCTCTCTCTCTCTCTCTCTCTCTCTCTTTGTCCAGCAATTGGCAATATCTAGCCCCTTATATAGTGCTAAAAAATGCTATCTTCCCATACATATCTTTGCACAACAAATCGCGGAAAACCGCGCCCCCCGGCCCAAAGGCAAAACATAAAGGGCTCGTGGCCCGTGGGCTCAGTTTTTGGGCTCGAAAACCGTGGTTTCGGTTTCGGCTCGCCTAGGGTCCTCGGAAGCTCGCAGCACCCGGCGAGGCAGCTTCCGAGACTGCGCGAATGGCAAGGAACTTGTTTAAAGCCCGGGATATGGAAGCACCAACAAGCATAGGTGGCCTTTTGGACAAATAGATGGTCCTGGTAAATGCAATACACCGTCTAAACCAGGGCCCTTTCTTTTTTAAGCAAACCAACCAAAAAGGACACCTATGCCAACAAGTCACCTCTCCATCCAAGAGAGCCACCAGACAAAAAACACACACACATGAAAGACATACCAGAAAGTGAACTGTGAAACTCGCCCTGCTCATGTTTATGGACCTTGGGGTGGATTTGTCTCCGCGATACAGGGTAGCTCCTGCAACATTGACTATAAAATGGCTTGAATGGTTACAACAGGGTTCTGGGGTACATCAAAACCAAGTTAAATCATGATTATAGGATAAAAACGATAGACATTGGTTTGCCCGCCCAAATTTACCGCCAACAGCCTTTCCTCTTCCGCCAAGAACATGTCCCTCTTTGAAGACTCCCCTGAACCAAATCCCCTCCAAAGCCCCTGCATGCGATTTGTTACTTGGCCAAACTTGTGTTTCTGCAGAAAGGTAACATGCTTTTGGTCGTAAGTTGGAACATTACTTGAGTTGCCGCTTCGGGACCCACCATGACTCAACACGAAAATTGGGAAACCAAAAGGTCAAAAGGTTTGGACTGAGCACCAGTGGATCCACTGCCTCCATTGGGTCGGCGGACAGCTTGCGCAGTGATCGCACCAGCACCTCTCTCGAGCGAGGCGCTGGGACCGCTCCTGGCCTAAACCAGCGACCCAGCTTCCTTAAAGGAACCTCGGCGCATCTGGGGCACCGTTTTTTTTTGGAATGAGAACACACACCTTTTGTTTCCGGGTTCAACAAAAAACAAGTTATGTTTTTAGCTTCTGCTAAAACATGTCATCAAAGACATACATAATCTTGGAGACCCCGGAAGCTGCCTTTTTGGAATGGCCCACATCATTACTGGACCCTCCGTTGAATTCTCCACCTCTACTCAAAACCGTGGGACCTCAAAACGAGCCTTTCTGAGGACCCAACATCTTTAGGGGGACCCCTTTTTGTGGTTGTGTTCAAAAGGGAAGCAAGTAACCAAAAGGAAAAACAAAAAACAACTGCCAATTGACCTCTGCTTTTGCCGGCTAGAAAGTCAGAGTTGTGTTGGTGGTATAAATGTGTCTTCTTTTGGGGGTCACCTTCCTGGGAGTTTTAAAGGACCTACAGGGAAGCCACATTTTGTTTGGGTCACCTGTTTTAACACAGACCCATGTAGTGACCATTCAAGTTTAACATTAATCTTGCAACATATTCCAGATTTGGGTGTCCCGTTTTGGTTGCTTCAAGGAGGGGGGGAACCTCGTCTAAAACCGGCTTCGGTTTCTCTTTGGCTTCTCTGTCGAGAGCAAATCCAAAAGTAAACGGGTCCACCAAGAACCCCTGTACATCCCAGCACCCCCACTCTTACCCTCTGCCCCTTCCCCCAAAAAAGTTGCGGACAGCTTAGCTCAGGCCAACGGAAGGGAGGTGGGGAGTCGGGGGTTGGAGAGCAGCGGCTTGAAACCGGAGCCTGGACAACGTTCAAGCGTTAGGTAGCTTTCAAGGCCCAACAGTTTGAGGCTTCAACTGGTCAAAATTCTCAACAACTGCCGCCGTTTCCAAAGTGGCTTCGAGTCACATTCCCTAGCCACGTCAGGATAAGCTGCGCCTCCTGCAGCAGCGATTCCCGGGGCCAAATGGCCAAGCACTGCAGCGCGCAGTGGCTGATGGTCGTCTGTCGCTGGGATCAGATGACTCTCTCGTTCTATCCAGGCCCCAAGTTGGGGACTGTTGGCACAGGAAACTCTGAACATACCGGCAAGAGCTGGACTAAAATGAGCGAGCATCAGGTCCATGCATGACAAACTGAAGACTAAGGCAATCTACCTTCCAAGGACGCAGACCCCGAAAAGAACAAAATTGGAGGCGGTTCTGTCAGGTCTTAGGGTTTCTTGGCCATACAAAGGTCATCTGCCATATCTTTACAGAACCCTTGGTAGCTCCTCAGCTCCATGTGTAAAGCCAACAAGAGACGCCCCTTGGCTCAACCAAACTCGACCAAACCCGACGCTCCTCGCGGTGCGGGAGGGCCGGCAAGGTCCCGTGGGGAGGCACTCGGTTCCTCAGTGGCCCAGAAAACCATCCACATGTCGAGGTTTGAACCAGTGTTCAAACACACTAGGTAAATGACCTTTGCTACCACTTGCGGTGACTTGTGGAGGTGCATTTCCTTGATTTCCTGAGGTTTGCTGATCCTGGGTTCCGACTATCACCAGGCCCCAAAGAATCCTTTGTTGCCATGATTCTACCATGAGTAACTGGTTTAAGGGGAAACTGAAAAGAAACCGACCATTGTGGGGTCTTTTGAGACACCACCCCCAGAACAAATCCAACAAGGAGTGACCCGCGAACTTTCCAACCAAGGCTCTGATCGTCATCCTCCAGGCGCATGTGCAGCGAAAGCGGCGCGAAGGCCTTTTCAGGTGGCGCTCTTCTTGAAAACGATTTGGATGTGGCTTTTGTGGATCCACCCCTCTAGGACCAAGCGGCATAACCTTCCTGCTGCGTGTGGCAACAAAAAACCCGGTGTCGGCGACTAACGGGAAGATGTAAGCCCAAGATGCCAACTTGAAAGGTCGAAGCTGTGGTCACCTCTCTGTTTTGCAACTCCCACAGTCAACATGTTAGCACGCAACGAGGCTCAGCTCTTTAGAATCAGACAATTATGTACGAATTAGCACCCAGATCTCTAGAACCCCCATGCCTTCTGACCATGGGATTTCCAACAGGAAGAGTAGCAACCCTCCTTAAGGGTATCCTCAAGGATATTTCAAAGTGGAACCAGGAAGGAACCGCTGCATTTCGAAGGTCATCTACACTTGTCCAGCGGCTTGGTAGAAAAGCAGCTGGATCCTGTTTGATGCCGTTTCGCCAAGCATCACGCCAAACAAAAAGGGAACCCTATAGGGATGGACATCCCTCCGAACGGTTGTTTCCTAAAGCACCAGCATTTAAAATCATCAGGATTTGGTTTTGGACATGACCCTAGGTTCCTTGAGGGTCAAACACAAAGGATGGGCACTGTGCCATAGGTCCCACCAAAGAAATGGTCCATCTAGGAACACGGCCCAAGCAAGGAGCCAAGTTACAAAGCTGTAACCTAGGTTCCAACCCACTTCTAAGCCTCCACAAGTGAGGTTGACCCAGTCATTAGTGGGTTATATCCCAGGCTAATCTCTTACTAATCGAAAATCCAAGTAATCCTGAACCCGTAGTGGACGCCACAAAACAAGCAACATTGATTTCTCACCAAAAAGTCCCCCTTCAACAAAGGGCAACCTGCCAGCGCCAAGGGACATTGTCTTGCTGGTGCTCAGTAGGGAATGCGGGAATTAACCGTTTGGGGATTCCCTTCAAGGAAAGTTGGATGGTTCAAATCGGGGTCATTCCATGTTCCCCGCCTGTCGCACCAGCAAGTTGATGTCCCCATATTAATCAGCCCCAACTTTTTAGCCCTGGGTGACATGTGGGGAATCGATCATCACTATTAGCTATTACTGCGGTGTATAGGGGTCATTGCATTTCTCATTCCCCACCTTTCGTACCAGCAAGCCAAGTAGCTAGATGTGATTTTAGACAATTGTCCCCTCAAAGTAACCCATAGGGGATGATAGGGGATGGTTTCTGGGGGGCATTCCCGCCCCGGACCCCCAGACCCTCCCGGGCATTTCCGCAACGAGGGAGAGGCCTCCATGAAGGCCTGCCGGTACCGCGAGCTCTGCGCGTGTCGCCCCAACGTGGGCGCCTGGACCGGGCCGAAGTCGTTGTCGTCCATCCGATCGCAAGACGAAATGACACCATGGTTGAAACCCATTGCTTGTTGGTTTTTGCAGGGGAGTCAGCAGAAACGAGAAAAGCTTGAGGTGGTGCGAAATGGATGTCCTCCATCCGCATGGCCAATTGTTTTGTCTGTCCCCCCCCCCCGAAAACCAGGCGGGGGACGACTAAACAGTGGGGCCGGCAAAACAAGGCCATAGCCTTTGATCGCCGTGGGAGCCAAGGCGGTCCATCAGACCGTCAAACCGAAAGCAAATGGCTTCTGCTCAGGCCCATTACACCAGGGCGAAAGTGAATGGCACTATGATTCTTTACGCCCGCAAGCAAATAATAATAAAAGCTGAATTGGGAGGATGTGCCATCTATACTTTCATCCAACTGTATTTCAACTGGTGACTTTCCATTCTTGGCTTAGGCTCGCGAAATATCTTGCTACCGCCGCGCCCCAGCACCTGCTGTTCCGCCCCAAACAAGCGCCAAGAACCAGCGTTGCCAGGCACGTATGTGTGTCAACCACGCACACATGAATGGAGTTGTTGATGCTAGATTCCCACGAACATTGCAAGGAACAAGCAAAGTTAGTTTTGCAAATTTGCATCCACCCAGTAATCTGAAGGGGGGTTGATCAAAAGGTTCTTCACATTGGGTGACCATTAAAGAAAACTCAACCAAAAAAGATTTGACTTTCACTAAACGGGGAGAAACAAAAAACAGTTACCATGGTCAAAACTGGGGGCCCTAAATGGAATATGTTCATCAACCCCCAGGTATCCCTCATATGCCCCTGTGGTTTCATGTACCCCATATTAGCCTAAATGGGATGTTGATCAACCCCCTGGTGTTCCTTTTGGTGTCCACTTACCTACCCAAAACCCTCTAGGTCCTCCAGTAGAGAGGTGCCAACTTTCTGCAGTCTATTTTAGTAGGGGAACCCTCCCCCAAAAAGGAAACGGTAAAAGGCACTACTGAATGACCCAGCCCTTGAAGAAAAAAAACGCCCGCCCCCCCCCCCCGGTCTTCAAACCCGCCCCAAACCCCGCTGCTCACAGCGCGGTTTTTGCGCTCCAGGCCCGGGCCCCCAGGAGGTCGAGGCAGCGGAAGGCCGCCTCCTTGCGGGTCTCCTCCGTGCGGAAGGCCACCAGAAACGGCTCCAGCTCCTGGAGAGTGGCGCATGCTGGGTGTCCCGTTTTGAGACTCCTCGAGAACAAAAGCCCAGCAAAAAGGGGTAATTACCAAATCTGGGTCGACGTTGGGGTAGTAGGAGCAAAAAACATCCAAAGAGTGTGAGCAGTTTAGTGGTGGGATTCCAACCACTAAACCACAAGAAGCAAAAATGGAACATGGTTTCCAACAATAACCATGAAATGGGAGTGGCGCTTATTCCCCCCAAAATGGTGGGTGTTCCGTTGAGATTCCTCGCAAAATGCAAAATGGGGGGGGGGTACCTTTTTTTAAAGAAAAACATTTAGAGGACTCCAAAACATGAGTGGGTATCGTCTCTGGCTTCCCTCAAGCAACCTCAAAAGAAGACATACCCACTCCAAACATGTGGTTGCGAGTTCTGCTGGTCCGCAGCGAGTTTCCTTTTGGTTTTCCTTTCACTCACCGAAACGGGACCCCACCATGTTGAGACACTCATGTCATTCAGAAATGCCGAGCAAATGGGGCTGGTACCGCTCTTTCTGAGGAAGCACATGTGTGCTGCGCTTTTTGGTTGGTGAAGTCGAAGGAATCCAAACCAGCTTTCTTGAAGAGTTTCCAGTCCCCATACGCTCCCAACTAGAGGCAACAGTATTTGGTAACTTACTTTCGTGGTAACTGGCAGCACCGGGAAAGGTTCCGCAGTTCCAGGTCGTCCTGCGAAAATGTGGGTGAAAGGTTCAACGGACTTCGTCTTGAAGGGCAAAATGGGTGCGTCTGGCACAATTCTAGGGGGCCATGCCCTTAAGAGTGCGACTCTGGAACCCTTGAAGGAAAAAAGTCAGTGGGGAAGCGGGGACCGGGGACGCTAGAGACACCTCTCAAAAAACGACTTGCAAAGCTGTACCTGAAAAGTGTGTCAAGTTCTTGGGCACTTTTGGACCTCCACATCCGCAGGTCCAAAGCGAGCAACCCCAGAGACACAGCGCCTGTTATTTCCGCAGCAAAATGAAGGTCAGGAGGGAAGCCAAGCGGCTAGAGAAGAAAGGAAGAAAGGAGGAGGGAGGGAGGAGGGAGGGAGGAGGGAGGGAGGAGGGAGGGAGTAGGGAGAAAGTAGGGGGGCAAGGATTTCCTCAGCTGCATTCTATCTCTAAGGGTTCGGGTTGGACTTGTTTGGAGTTTGGATGTGGGGAGGGAATCCCTCGACTTTTGATGGCCATACGCGCCAAGGGCCATAGAAACAGTATCTTGGAACCTTGAAAAGGCCAAAGGATAAGCTCCCTTAATGCATCTTGTCAGCATTTGTTCTGCTCCCAGGCACGTATGGCTGTGGGTCAAAAATAGGTACCCAAAATGGAACCCTTGTAAGTGGAAACATGGACCCAAACCTATGGTCCTCTGGTTTTACTTTGACCCACACACATTGTAACCCGTTGGCGTCTTCTTCTCCTCAAAGGTGATCTCAGGTTCCGGCAAGCCGCCCAGGCCTCAGGCTGCTACCCCGACGCTTGACTCCTGAACACTCGAAAAACGCCCCAGTGAATTCCCCGTTGGCAAGTGCTAAAAAAGAGCACTTTAAAAAAGGTCGAATCGAAGATGGGAGCGCAAAAGGCCGCCTGAGGGGCTATGTCCTAGCAACCTCGAAATCGAAACCTGGCAAAAGCGTTAAGCAATGTCTACCGGTGAGGGGACCGATGTAAGTTCGATCAAACCAACGGCGCTGGGCCATCAGAGCATTTGGCTCAGGGAGCCTGAGACGTGGGCAGCCGGCAAGGCTAAGGCATAAGCTCATCGCTCGCTGGAGCTCCTTGGGGAGAAACAAAAACAAAGCGGCAGCATGCGCAAAAGTGGAGCGGGCGGGGCAAAGGGATGCTTGACGGGGCAACCCGGTGTTGTGGAACCCCTAGTTCGAATGAAGTTGACATTTGATGAGAACAAAATGCATTGACATGCACTTGCTGGTGGGTCGGCCACGCACGGCACGGAGAAGCCACCTCGCAACATACGCTGATGGCCTGCAGTGGACCTGTAGGCTGCGACCCATGTCCCCGCAACTCCAACGTTGATTGGGCACCGGCACCGCCCAATTTTGAAAGTCCTTTTGGCCTCACCCCTTAAACTAACCCCAAAACATAGGGGTTAGCTAAATTACGGGACCACGCTCAAACCGAGGCTCATCGGCGCACCAGTTCCGCAGGCGCCCGCCCCCCGGCCGCAGCAGCGCACACAAATGCCCGTGCCGGGGCTTCTCTGGTGGTGGCTCCAGGGGCTCCTCGCTGTTTCACCCGGGCCCTCCCCGAGACCTTGAGGCGTGAAACCGAAAATGAGAAGATAGGGGGCCAAGGGCAAAGAGGTCAACAAGCTTCTTGAGCGAAGGGGGGCTGAAGTGGGGCCAAAAATAAGGGAAAGGAAGCAACCTGCCGGAGTCATGCGCCTTTTGCACGGCTTTATTTGACGGTTGCCTCATACCTTCCCCTGATGTGCTGACTTGAGTGTCTAGAAAAAGTGACAACTTTTGGCCATGGAACCAAATTTCAGAAACCAAGAAAACATGTTTAAGATGTTGTTGGTGTTGTTGTGCTAGCTGGTGGGCTTTATTTGCTCGGTTTGCCGTTGCTCAAGTTGCATCTTAACACAGCTATTATTTCAACAACCTCCTTTGGGTTGTCCATTGAAAACACTTCCTTGGTGGATTGGCCCAAAGAAGTCTGAACTACCTGTTAACCATGCAGATGATCTTCCCGAAAAATATAAAGTCCAGAAACTCAGGGAGTGAGAAAGGGGGGGGGGGTGAATCTATCCGATTGTTGAAACATATTTTTCGACCGTGATTTTGCTTTGGCTTCTGCTGAAAAAAACAACAAAAACAAGGCGCCCTCAAAAAGTCATGATACTGGAAGGTTCTCTGTTCCTGAGCGGATTGCCAACAAACGTCTCAGTGTGTTGCTTCCCACCAAATGGCGGTGGGTCGAAAATATGTACCCAACATGGGATCCTGGTAAATGGAAACCTGGGCCAAATCCTGCGGCCCATCTCCTGGTTTAGTTTTGACCCGTACCCAACTTGGCCCCAAGCCCCAAAAAGCGCTCGGCTCGAGCTGACTCGACCTTCGGCTGCCACGCGAAGCACCGTCTCCATCTCCGGGTCGATCCGAGTCCGCGCGCCAGGTCCTCGCTGGCGTCCAGCTGCTGCGCCAGGGGCGCCAAGGCCTCCGCCAGCTCCGCGCCGCAGAGCTGCAGGCCCTGCAGCGCCCGCAGCGCCCCCCGGCAGCCCAGGCGGCAGCGCCTCGTGGAGCACGCGCGGCGTTGCGTGGAGGGCAAGGGGCGGTGAGTCCAGCTGGATAGGTGTTGGAGGTGGATGGGGGAACTCCTGCACCTGAAGAAACCTAAACCTGTTTTTGGTTTCTTAGGCCATCCACAGTATGGAGGTCATGTACCACGTACGCAAGGGGGAAGATGCCGCCTTACCAGCTTTTGTGTTGGTGGCAAATAAGCTTCCATACCGACAACAACCATACCTGAAAGTTGCCTGGACGTTGAGGGTGGGGTAGGACAGCAAAGTAAAGTGTGTAGAGTAGGGTACTGGTAAGGTAAAGTGAGAGTGGAGGAAAATTATGGGGTCAAAGGACACATCCAAAAACCGGCTGCTTCACAAGGAGGAAGTGCCAGGACATCATCCAGGTGGACAGGTGGATGAGGCCGGTGTCAAGTCAAGGATCCCATTTACAAGGTGGACGCTTTTTCTTCAGCCACCAACAGCCAACTTCTTTACAAGGGGCTCCTCGTCAGCTCATGTTTGGGTGTTTCGCCTGTAGACCCTGAATCCCCTCAGGGTTGGAGCT